AGGACTGAATCACTTATGTCGCCAGTAGTTACAAGAAATAAAAATGTACAAGAAAATTTACCTTTAAGATAAAAACCTCACTAAAGAGTATGTATTATAATGTCGAACAGTAGCATACATAACATGCAACAGAACGTACAGTAGGCATCATCATATCTAAAATATATATGATTTTTTAACTAAAAAGCAAAATATTTTTCTTCTTTGAACTATTCAAATACTAAACCGTCATGAGAAATACTGGCAGAAAGGTCAGTTCATAATGCTAAGAGCAACAGGATCCACCATGTCACACTTAGGAGCTTCTAGAAAATACAGTTGGAGCTAGTTGAGCTTATATCTAAACCTGTGGCTTCTAGTCACCATATTTATAAAACTCAGAAAATTCCTCACTGAGAATCTACAAATGTTAGCTTTTGCCAATTCTTTCCATGTTGTAGGTGATCTTAAAAGAAGATCTACGAACAAACACTACAATTTTTAGGTTTTTAACTCCCTGGAAATTTTCTCTCTCATACTTTTTAACTTCTCTAAGTGTCATACAAACAGGCTTGGGAAAAGCACTTCTGATTTCTGTAGCCATTATTGTATGTCTGTATGGACACAGATAACCCAAACTCTCCTTATTTGCAAACATAATTCAAAGAACAGCAACTCCATCAAGAATTAGATTGTTTTTCATTTAATTTTAATATCAACTTTCTAGTTGATACATGAAATGTGTACATGTTTATGGGATCCTCTGTGCACATATGCTGTGTGAGGCTGAGCAGTCTGATTTATTGAGATCCTGTCAGGTTAGACAGAGTTTTAGGTTTTCATAACAAAGAATGATGCGATAACCTTACACACAAAGAAAACAATCCTGTGTTGCTTTTTAAAATTAGAATAGGCAAATATGAGGGACCATTCATCTTTAGGTACACAACCTGTACTTGGTGATGCTGTGAAAATGGCTTCATAGCCTTCTCTCTGTCCTTGCTATTGTCTGGTAAAGTTATTCCACACATCTCATCTGATCTGGCTTTTAGGCTTGAAAACAATTTCTTACCATGGTCATCCATCCAGAGTCCTACTGAGAGCAGATTTTTCCTATAAAAAAAAAACTTTGCTAATGTTCCTACCTCAAGTCTCTCAAATCTTACTAGTGGTTTCTTATAATCCATCCTATCAGGCCTAGTGTTTTTTATTGATTATCGAAGCCTTTGAAACTTCCTCCAATTTATCTGCTTTCTGAGCTCTCTCAACATAACTTTTCCTTCCTCAAGTCAAAACCATCCCTCAAGTTTTGCCTTCACTCCGGCCTTTTCTGCTAAATTTTATACCTATAGCAGACAGTTCTGTAATCTCTACAACTAGAAATAGCTAAAGTTCATGACCACTGCAAACAAACTTAAAGCATCTCTTGGTCTCTAGTTGCTTCGTGCTTCTCTCTAATTTTCATAACCATTTATGTTTTCTCTGTAAGCTGCTAAGACAAGTGATCATTTCTTCCCAAATAATCATCTGAGCCATTCAAACATTTAGACTATGGTAAGGATTGATGGTACACAGGCTGACACATGGGATAGCTGAAAATAGGAAACAAAAGAAATTGTTTCCTAAAGGAATTGATAGACAAAAGTCAGCCCTTGGTACTGCTGCCTTTATAGGACTTCCATCACAGCACTAGTGTCTACCCAATGCAAGGGTCTTGGAATCTATCCAGAAAGGTTCCCATCTTGAAACAAAGACAACTAATTTAATCAGAACAGCTGCTTTTTCTGAGACTATGCTGGCCTGTAAAACACAGATCTACTATAGATTTAATCAATATCATTCACTAGACCTATGCTGTCAAAGATAGTAGTCACTAGGACTCCTATCGATGTAAAGGGCTTAAAATGAAAGGAAATTAAATGCCATACCACTAGGCACATCTAAAGTGCTTATTGGCAAGTGGTTGCTATTACGGGCAACAGATTACAGAGGAGTTCTGGTATCATTGGACAGTGCCAAAGCTTACACAGAAACTCACTAGTGATGGCAGTGGCTGAAGATTTGGGCTTACAGCATTGACTGTGAAAAGCAATGTCCTGAGTGGGCAAGATTTCATACATCACCAACACATGGCTTGAAAGGCATTCCATAGGCTCACTGTCCAGTAAAAGCCTTGACGGACTCAACTCGAAGTATCTGAGTGGCAAGTGAGAGCTTCACTCCTGTAGCTCTATCTGCCATGCAAAGTGCTTAAAGCTCCATCATGTTAATGGAGGGAGGGAAGGAGGAAGGGAGGGAGAGAGGGAGAGAGAAAGGTTTTTAATTTTTTTTTATTTATTTTTATTTTGCTTTGCACATATGTAAGTGCACCCATGTCATTCATGCAAAGCTTATGGAGACGAGAAGAGGGTGTCGGATGCCCCTGGAACTGGAGTTATGGATGGTTGTTAGCTACCACGTGGGTGCTAGGATTCAAACTCTGGTCTTCTGAAAGAGCTACCAGTGCTCTTAACTGCTGAGCCATCTCTCCAGCACCAGGAGAGGGAGGTTTTAAATCTAGTTTTGGAAGTGACATGAAAAAGATCCACTGGGAGAAAAGTTGAGAAAGTGGCCTGCTTTGTGGTTGCACTGAAGTTCACACTCACCTCTCACAGATGGTCTGAGAAATGCTAAGGGGATTAAAATGCGACCAGGATGGATGTACAATTTATGATGCAAAAACCTTTTCTTTTGAGAATGAAACTGTATGTGTTAGTTACTTTCTATTGCTGTGATAAAAACACGGACCAAAACCAACTTGGGGAGGAAAGAGTTTAGAAGGCTTACAGCATACTCCACCTTCTAGGGAAGTCAAGCCAGGAACTCAGGGCAGGTACCTGGAGCACAGACCACGGAGTTACACTGCCTACTGGCTTGCTCCCCTGGCTTGTGCTCAGCTTGCTTTCTTATTCAATTCAGGACCACCTGCCCAGGGAAGGCATGACCAACAGTGGGCTGGGCCCTCCCACATCACTCAACAATCAAGAAAATGCCTCACAGACATGATTACAGGCCAATCCAATGTAGGCAGTTCCTCAATTAAGATTCCCTTTACCCAGGAGTGTCAAGTTGGCAACTAAAGCTATCCTAACACTGTATAACTCGCATATTTTTCTGTGGCCCAAATTCTATTCCCCGCAAGAGGATGGAGTGGGGCTGACAGACAAAACAACCTCCCCACCCCCTGCACACTGACTGCCTCTTTCTTCTGCTTCATAATGAACAGGGTCTCTAGAACAGAGGGTCTCTATGTAAGAAAGACAGGGATGCCTGATTGAGCCCAGAAGCTGAGTCTGGAGGCATTGCCCAAAAGAACAGACATGTTGTTTTTTGAGATGATGACACTGGCTTACAACATGTTAGGGGGTGATTTGCATATTAGTATGTTTTTAAAGTTTGAGGACTATAATCTAAAGTCCCTGGTGATAGTGCTGAATTTCCTATCACTGGGAGTGCTATACATGGAGTTGTCCCCTCTTGGCCACCCAGATAGCTACAGAGTTCAGAATTCTATCCACTGTGTGGTCTTAGTTTTTACCTTCCCCCAAAACTACGTTTGAGTTTCTTCTGACTCTACTTTTGTACATTATATCCCCTTATATTTATGTTTATGAGAGAAACTCTCCTGCAAAGTCACACAACATAGAGGTATTTTCTGAAAATGATTGTGCTAAATAGTAATATGAAAGGCCTTTTAAAAATAAGAAACAGTGTATAATAATAAGAGCAAGTCAATCTATTTGTTCACTGAGAACCTGATAGCACTATTCAGTGACTTAGGAAAATGACAATAGTTGGACTGTTAACTGGCTGAACAATGCAGACTGGATAACATGAATTAAAAGTCCCGGCTAGCCTGCTAGGGGCTCTGTGATGATATGGGAAGCCCTACTCTGAGCTGTGTACTGCTGAGCTCCTTTGTTCCCACTCCTTAGAACACAGACAAAAATTAAGTTTGTAAATGATATAAAACCCAGAAGCAATGCTTTTATGATAAGCCAGTGTTTCTCAATTCTGCTTGCTATAGATACAGACCAGATCCCCCTTCTCTGGGGGAAGGCCTGGGAACTTGGCTTTTTTGCTAATTTTCCAGGGGATAAGATTCCTTTAGGGGGCTGGAGAGATGGCTCAGCAGTTAAGAACACTGACTGTTCTTGCAGAAGACCTGGGTTAAAAAAAAAAAAAGAAAGAAAGGAAAGGAGGGAGGGAGGGAGGATGGGGGCTAGAGGGATGGCTCAGTGGTTAAGAGGGACCCTGGTTCTATTCCCAGCACCCACATGGCAGCTAACAACCATCTGTATTCCAGAGCTAGGAAATCCGGTGCCCTCTTCTGACCTCTGCAGGCATTGCATGACACAGGTGCACTTACACACATGCAGGCAATACACGCATACACATAAAATAAAAAATAAATAAAATATTTGAAAAAAAGATTCCTTTAAATGCTTCAAAGTCACAAAATTGTTCCATACACCTTAATGGCAATGAGTTTTAACCAACACAATTCTACTTCCAAAATAGTAACAAAAAGCTGTTTTCTTGCTTCCCTAACAAAGCAAATTTATGGGGTTTTCGAGTGGTAAATGAGGGAATATAGGCTGATAGTAAACCCCGCTCAGATGTGGTGATCTTACTTGTGGGGAGGAACCCAACAGGATACGTGAAGTAATATCATTTTCAATGACTTTTTACCTGAAAGCTGGTAAGTCATGTTTTGTAGCAGCACATTCAACTGTATTTAGTACTTTGGGTTACAAATACAAATGATCATACAATTGAATGAACTGAGTTTCCCTTGACATAAAGATGAAAACAAAAATTATTATAGGAATTTGCAAGATCTACAGAGACCATTTCCATAGCTAAAAATATCTCCCTGCATCCAGAAGGCTGTGCACACAATGTAAAGGTCCTGCATCAAGCTTCCCCTGCCTGTCCAGTGACTTCCACTCCCCACCACAATCAGGCAAGCTGGTTCTTACCACAGAGATGGAGTTGGAGAGCAGTGTGCCATCCTGACCCAGCATGTTGGACACGGTGATCTCTGGCAGGTCCATGCTTTGCGGATGGAACGGGAGCAGGCCATTGTGGTTCATGGGGTGACAGAGAGCGTGGTACCCCGACTCCACCTCATTCAGGTGCACCAGCGAGTGGTCAGGGAGGGAGGGAGGTGTGATAGGTGGAATGTTAAAGTCTTCACTCTCCAGACTTGGGCCAGGGTAGGACTGAAAAGACAGGAGTGACAGAGTTGGTAATTAGCATCTCCTTGATCGCCATCTTTGGGCACAGGTGCACAATGGCCTTGCGATATGAGCAGTAGTGTGAATTTGGCCAGGAAGTTTCAAACACTGGGGTCATCCTGCTACCATGTCTCTCTTATGTGTGAAGGAAAACACCTTTGAGACCTTTCCCCTTTGGTAGAAAGCCTGCTTCCCTTAAGTTGTTTGTTTTTCTTTTTTTTTGTTTGTTTGTTTGGTTTTTCTGTTTGTTGTTTGTTTTTGTTTTGTTTTTCTAGGAAGTTGACATCAAACAGATTTCAAAGATCCCATTAAAATTTTCCAGAGTTTTAATCTAGCTAAATAGTTTTTTTTTTTTTTCCATGAGAATTGTAGGGAAGGAAGGCAATTTATAAAACAGTTTGATCAAACATGTTTCTTGGGGCTCCCTACTGCTCAGATTATGGGTTGTAGTAAAAATGAATTCCAGAAGTCTGGGGCAGTTGCTTTTCAGTTTTGAAAACCTACCTGCTCATAGCTGGCAAAAGAAAAGTTATTCATTAAGAAGTAACTTAAGCATGTGGCTAAGTGTAAAATGCCTAACTGAACATTTGATGTGGTTTTGAAATACCAAAAATGCTAATTTTAGAAAAAATATTTTATCATCAGAATAGGAGTGATGACTACTTGCATGGTCTCTATGAACATTTATTTGATTTTCTCCTAAAGGCTGATAATACTGCTACCATTTAAATTTAGTTCTACCCGTGGTAAATGACAGAAACAATTAATATTATTCTAATACTAATTCTGAAATAAAAGTTAATCAGTAAAATAAATAGCATTAATATATTGGAGGCTTTTCTTTTATAAGCTAGCTTTAAAGTAGGAAGGGAGGGATGGAAGAAGAAAGGAAAGATTATATAAAGACAAGTCTACTTAAAAATGGAATGTGATGAAAGTTGAAAAATACAAGAAAGAACAGAATAAAGAAACATTGCTAGCAATTAATATTAATATACAGTGATATTCAGTAGTTCTTTGTAGAACAGGTGTCATAATGTGAAAAGAAACATTTTGGTCCAGATAATTCTTGTAAGACTGTCTTTCAAATTCAGGGGGCCTTCAGGGTTTTGGTACATGGATAACAAGGAGCCCCTTGTCTGACTGTACAGTGACTGCTACAGTGTGCAAGATTTGAAATGAGCAGGCAAAGTATAGGAGCCAAAGAAAGTAGTGTACGGTATTCATTGGGTGTTCAGCCAATAAGCTTCATGCTTCCCTGTCCAAGTGCCTGGGGTTATTTTTTCCAGATGGCGTCTATTTGTCTAACAGAAAGAAAAGCTTTAACTTGCACTTGCTAACTGTTGTACAAGTTTTGATATATTTGTTTAGGTGCTGTCAAAAGACAAGATTAAATGGAAAGCTCCTTGGAACACCTGGAATTTAGAGGTGGCTATGGAGAAGTATGTGGGCTTGTATAAAGCGTGTCTGCAGTATAGGAAAGGAAGACTTGATACACCCTTGCAGATAATTTTTCTTAAATATGTAAGATTCTGCTAAAAAAGTCACGAGCTCTAAAGTTAAATCACCCACTACCAAAGTCTTCAGTTAACAGTACATATTTCTTGTCTGAAATATATATAGATCAGTGCCCTGTGTCAAAGTTACAAGGTTGATTGAATTCCCACATACCTGGTGTATTTTGGACCCTGAGTATATAGATTCAAGCTTGCAGGTCTTCATAGGAATATTCATAAAAGATATAAAAGATGTCCAGTGGAGAGGAAGAAAATATTTATTCATTCCTATTTCATACAAAGTACTACTATCCAGGGCCCTTTCACTGTCTTGTCTTTATTTAACACTTACAATTATTCTTTATGTGGCTGCTATTCTCCCCTTTTCCTGGTGAGAGAACTGAGGCTCAGAAGGTAAAAACTTGTCCAGTTACTTGGCAATCAGCTTAGTTCAGATACAGGAGATGGCTATAAAATGAAAGAAGATACCGTTGTCCCCTCCCTTCCCTTCCTCCTTTCTCGCTTTCTTTGCTGTGATCCAACCCAGGGACTTGCACACATTAGGCAAATGCTCTACCATTGAGCTCTATCACTTAGTGCTACCATTCTGTCTGACTGATGCAGACTTTGTTACATAAAATTTCCTACATTTAAGAATTAGTATTACCACAAACAGCAGGCTTTTACTTGTCTCAGATTCCACCACAACGCTCACCATTAAAGTTAAATATTTACTCCACATAAGCATAAGAATTCATAATCCGTTTCTCTGTCAGCACTGAAGATGCTGAGTTTTCAGTGACTAGCTTTGAAGAAGTTGACTAGAGTCTGTTTGGAACTTTCCTGAACAAGGCACAATTAACACAGAGTAAAGGAGAAAGATGTTTTTAATTTTAGAAGTGTCATTAAACCTCTGAAAACACTAAGTGATATTTCACCCAGGGTGCAGCCTGACTCTACATTCTAGAGTTTCTTCAGTAGTTAAGTCTTAATTTGTGGTGTTTTAAAGGAAGGTTTAATTGGTATCACTTTACATTCAGTGATAACAATTGTGCTGCAATTTAACTAAGCTACATGGTTTATTTTCATGTAATTACACATTAAGGTTATTTAATCCATGCAATTATATACCAAAGCACAGTTCTATAACTTAATCGGTAATGGGTGGTTATGTGGGTCAAGAATTTTAACAACATAAGGTTACTTAGTAGTTTCTGTTCTTTACATTAGAAAGTCATAATGTAGTTATTTGCCATGAGCCTATTATAGTGTAATTGATGCCCTATAAAAGTACTGTTGTAATTATTTAAATGTTAAAATGTCCTAGAAGTTTAAAAAAGTTCAGTGGCAGACTAATTTCCAATTTTTTAAAAATGTGGAAATGAATTAGTTAATTCTTCACTGTTGATTTCTACGACACGACAGGTTTACTTTGATTTTGAAAAACTTAACGGTCATGTGTTTAAGTTAATAAAGGCTTACATTACATGCAGTTTGCTGTTTGGGGTGATACAGTACAATAGGATGTGATTCAGTACTTTCATTCCCCATGAAACTCCCTGTTAGAATTACTGTTAAATGTTTGTTGATGAATAAACAAAAGAATCACCAATGCATGAATCATCAATCTGAGTCTTTAAAAGCATGAAGCTTATAAATAAAACCACTGTTACTTCACAGGCTTGAGTAATTATTTTATACTCCCAAGACAGCCCTGCCTAGTTCATAACACAGAAGCAACATTCAAGTCATATTGCACCAATCAGCTAAAATGTCCCATTAGAAGAGATAAGGCTGCAACTGCTTGAGAAAGACTGGGTGGAGGAGTCTGTGTCCTCTGACTGCTGCCCTGGCCTTGAAGTGTCTTGTCTCACCATCCCAGAGTGACACAGAAATTCCAGAGGATTCACAGTGCAGTTTGTGACCCACTAGCTCTCAGCACTGTTAGAGCTGAATTCCGTCTGGAGCAGGAGAAGGGCCCTACAGTCGCAGCTGGGGAACCTGGGGTCAGTTCATGGCCACATTTCTTATGTCCACACCTGGTCATTATCAGCAAGAGGAGTGGGCACTTGGGTGCTCTGTTCATAGTAACAGAACACAGGACTAGTCAGAGAAGTTACAGTAAGGCCATCCTAGTGACACAGGACCCAGTGCAGCCCGTGCTCACTAACTTGGTCCTGTTCTGATTCTTACTCATTTCCCCTTCCTTCCCTCCATTGTGGCCTGGATTGTAAGCAATCAATCATTTTCTAGCCTTCTCAGACACAAAGATCTTGTGATGCTTTCTAAGGTCTCCATATCCCCCTGAGGCAACAGTACCACATTATTTTAGACCTAGTTAGAAGTTACCAGAGAGTTGACACCATATCCGGGGAGGCTCTCTGAGGCTGTACAGAATGCAGGACAGGACAAGCATGGCTCTTCAACGCTGGTACTGACTTCCTCATCACCATCTATAGTCTCATATCCTTCCAAGACTGGAGGCTAGAATCTAAACCATCTGCCTCCCTTGCTCCTAACACACATGTAAGTCACTGGTGGCCATCTGTAGGAATGGTGGGAAAGTGTTTAGGGATCGTGGGGTGAAATTCATGCCTGTAATTTTTCACTTCACCTTAACAAGAGGTGAGTTGGAAATAGGTATGCAAACTGTACTGGTCTGAAACCATAGCCAGTCTACATGATCTAATGATACAAAGAAATTCAAAATTCCCCTGAGTGCAGGCTCCTCACTGGATATAGACACAGGGAACTCTCATCTCTGTGTGAGTTCTGGGACACTTATGGGTTCCTTGATTCCAGGGCAAGGGCCCTCATTTCCAGGCCAGAGGTCCCAGACCTCACTGTATTGTAGAGCATCTAAACATCACTGAATGTGGGGTGGGGCAGGGTATACTAGCATGAGTCTTAGCTAATTCTGAAAAACCGATGAACTATTCAAGGCTGCAAGTGAATTGTCTGAAGCATTCAAGTAGTAATTTTAAAATATTATCCTCCTCAAGAGAGTAAGTTTATAGTACTAAGTAACAAGAGTCGATGACTATTGTAAGTCATTTGCTTAAAAGGTGGTGTTGGTACATTTCGCTTATAAAGTGCCACTTCTTTCTCTGATGAGAGCCAGATAGCTGTTGGACTGGTTGCAAGTGCATGTAATGATTTCTTCAGTGACTAATAAGAATGGTCACAGCATGTTGGAAAGACTGGCAGCTGTGAGGTCCAACAGACGAGCCTGATCCACATTGTTACCACATTTATGAGTTTGGTTTCTGAAGCAAGTTTCCTGTTCCTCTTCAGCGTGTTTCAAAACTCAATTCACAGAGTGCTTCAGAGCATGAAACATGAATAGAAATCCAATAATCTATGTTCTCCAGATAAAAAGTGCTTGATGGGGCTGGGCATAGTGGCACACGCCTTTAATCCCAGCACTTGGGAGGCAGAGGCAGGTGGATCTCTGTGAGTTCAAGATCAGTCTGGTCTACATAGAGAGTT